TCTTCAAAACAATTATATTGAAATATAACCTTTTACATGCCAATATAATTGATTATTACTTTACCTTTCTTTTCTTTTCTTTTTTTTTGAGAAAAAAGAATCTGAGCAATAGAATGGATTACACTTTTGCAACCGCTTATGTGTTTTAGTTCTGAATTCTTAATTACAATCCCACACAGGTGCATAAATTACCAAATAATAATTTCCAAAAATCTTATCTCCAAGAGATTGCGCCAAACACACCCCGAGGAGGTAGCGTTACCACTTGCATCAACGAGTGCGGTTGTATATCACATCCAATTGCATATGTTTGACAGCTATCCAGCTGAATTTTTGCGACTACTTTTACTTGCAAGTTGACGTTGTTGACAGGAGTTTATAATGGTTGGATAATATTAATAATATGATTTTAGATAATATTAATAATATGACATTAACGTCTTTTCGTTTCCGTGATTAAGGATTTTTTTTTTACAAGAGTAATAATTAAAAATTAAGAATTAAAGATTAGTACTCTACTCTTTAAAAGGTTCCATCACTAATTGAGGTACATTTTACTGAGCACAACAGAGAAATTAAGATACATTCTACCGATAACCCTTTAATTGCAGTGATACCACTGAGCACAACAGAGAATGCCAGTGATTAAGGATTAAAATAGAAATATATGTCATTTTCCGGGATGAGAAATGGTAACGATCCCAGAGTGGGGGAGAGTTATTGCCGCCTCCCTTCTCCGGTTCTCCCTACATAAAATTTAAGTGATTGGTAATTTGTGTGCTACATGGCTTTCTTTTTTCTTTTTTCTTTTTTTTTTTCTTTAGCAATTAAGGTGTTAGTTTTTATGTTTATTGAGACTAATATCTTTTTAGTTTGATAAAAAAAATAAATTATTTATATTGAGATTAAAATATTTATAAAAATCATCACTTTAGTTGACATTCTTAAAAAAATCAAATATTAATCAATAAGATAAACAGTAAAATTAATCTGCTGAGAAAAAGATTCTACATTTTAAAGAGTATTTTCTCTAAGAGAAAAATAAAAATTAAAACATTTTGATGTTTAAAATATCAAAACTTTTTATAAAATTATCTAATTACTCTTAATAAATCTTTCTTATATGTTAATTCATTAATAATATTTAAATAATTTTATAAAATATTCTATTAATTTAATTGTCAAAGTGCCTTAATTTTGGAATGGCCTGCTCCGGTACAGTGGCATTGCACCCTAGGTTATGACTGTTCATTTTCGTTGGTTGTACATTCGAGTCCCACGAAAATCTTTTCTTCCCTCTCCTAATTAATTTTATAAATAATTATAAATTGTTAAAAAAAAAAGTGCCTTAATTTTCTATTGTCCCTTTCTTTTTAACTTTTTTTTTTTAACGATATTTTTGTTAAAAGGTGGAGGCTTGTGACTTTGAGCAGCACACATAATGCAAGGGTGTCCCCTACTCGTACATAGGGGCTAAGTGATATAACAATTTAAAATTAATAATTAATGATTTCGTTTGATTCAATAAATAAAAGTGTTTGAATTAATACTAATAATAATTAATTATAAAATTAAACGAAACTATTTGTTAATTTCAAAGTTTTATACCAAATGACCTTAAGACATTTTTTTGTCCACTCACAAAGTCAGAATGCTATTTTAGTTTGTTTAAAAGAGAAATACTCTTCCCTTTCACTAGTATTAAATATTGTAATTATTCCATCTATCATAAATTAACTATCATTTCTTGATTTTAAATTTATTCTAAATTAGTTGTCTTTTTTATTTTTTAAGATGGATAAACATTTTTTTTACTTCAGTCGTATTACTTTAATTAATTATCATGTTACAAAAAAATCTATTTTTATCCTTTTTTTAATATTTTTTTTAAGGATAATATATGTAAAAATATAAATTGCTCCCAAATACTATATTTAATTTGAGAAAAATATAAAAAATTGACAACTATTTTGAGATATAGAAAATAATATATATTTGTTTTTGCTTATTTCATAAAAAAAACAATCAGATAAATCTCAATCATAGTCAAAACATAAATAATCAATACTTTTGTTTAAGTAAAGTGGGTAAAAAGTTTAAGTAAATGGCTTTGTTAAAATGTAATATTAAGAGCAAATACATATGCTAAGTGCTAACTTTAGTATATTTAATTTACCGCCCTTTAGGTTTTTTGGGCCTGTTAATCAAAAACCTAAAACTACGGGCTGGATAGAACTTCGGCCCTTTAATAAGTCTAGAGCCCAGAAAGTGGAAGATGAAGATAGGATTTTGGGTTTTATCCTGAAGTTCTCTCCTCTCTTCTGCTCTCGCTCTTAGCTTCAATGGCATCTTCTCTATCAACTTTTTATCATCTCAGCGGTTCTCTTTGTCCGAAGAACGCCGACAATGTCAAGCTCGCCTCCTCTTTTCTTCCTTCAGCCGTCAATTTATCCTCAAGACCCGGCATTTCTTGTCACCCATTCGTCAACAAGAAACAGTCCCCACTTCTCTCTTCAACTCCTCGATTCTTGACCGTAATCGCCATGGCTCCTCCGAAACCCGGCGGAAAACCCAAAAAAGGTACATATTGGTAAATAATCATCCTTCTATCTTCATAATTCTTCAGACCCAAATTACATGTCGGATGTTTGTTCTGTTTCTGGGTGTTTCTTGCAGTGGTTGGGATGATAAAGCTGGCTCTGGAGGCGGGGAAGGCGACTCCGGCGCCACCTGTGGGGCCAGCCCTCGGTGCGAAGGGTGTGAATATCATGGCTTTTTGTAAGGATTACAATGCTAGAACTGCTGATAAAGCTGGATATATTATCCCTGTTGAAATTACCGTATACGATGTGGGTTTAGATCATTCTTTATGGATTTTGGGTACTTTAATACTTGCATTTCGTCCCCCATTTGTTGAAGAAAAGACAATTTTTTCATGTTGCTTTCCAGGATAGGAGCTTCACTTTCATTCTCAAGACACCACCTGCTTCCGTTTTGCTCCTCAAGGCAGCAGGTATAATTTCTTTGATACTACTCAGTAATAAGCTTTCAAGCTTATGCCTCTAACTATTCTTGTTTTTCCCTTTTGGTTCCTTTCCTTTTGGGGTTACCATCCATCTTTTAGTTTGTAGTGTTGCTCGATGATGTTCAAAGGGCAATGCCATTATCACTAGTTTTTATTTTAAATGAAGCTTAGCTTTGGTGCTTGTAGCTTGATATAGGACTTGAAATATGTCCTGCTTGAATTGAAGTTCAATTATCTTTAGGTCAAGGAATGAAACTAGAGCGCCATTAAAAAAAAAATTACCTCCACCAATGCCACATGATCCTCCAGAAGAGGATGAAGAAGAATGAGAAGAAGAAGAGGAAGAGGTTTTTCAGACTAACATCTATAGATGCATGTGAGTAACAAGTTAAAACAATGGTTCTACACAGTTGCACAGAATAATAGATAAACTTGAAGTTAATATGTGGATGTTTTAATGCTTGAAAAAGGATATATGATGATAGTCATGTGAGGTTATCTGTATATAGATGCCTTTTTTCCTGTTTCTAAAATAGTTGAAGTGAATCTTATTTTTTACCTTTTATGATTCTTTGACATTTGATATGTTAATTTTAGTTAGATGAACATTGGTGCTGTTAAGGAATTTTAGTCTGCCATGCCATCTGTAGAGCTATATTATATGAGATTTTCGCTTGAACTGTATTGAACACTTAACAGATAGTTTGAATCCATATGTAGATGACTCTTAGATCCTTGATGATAATGGAAAAACTTCAACCATGTCGGACACTTTATTCATCTTCTTACACATAGTTTGGAATCACAGAATCAGAAAATGGCGCCTTTTTGGGTTGCAACAGAGATGTGGCCGTAATAAGTTAAGAGCAAATATAATATATTAAAAAGTTGGAATGTTATGTGAGGATATTTTCAATTCAGCCCCTTTTTTGGATTCTATGCTTTATGTCCACCGTCCAGCTCAGGATCCCAATCTTGTGATCAAATTAGAAGTCTAATTTTGTTCAACAGGAGAAAAAGAAAAGAGATTGCACGTTAGTATTGAGGCTCAGCCCTTGTGCTATTGTCTTCTTTCATCAGTGAAATTTCTACTTGGCCCTTGTGAGATACATGCTGTTAGCCAAGTGTCACTCTGTTCGTTCTCTTTTTTTTTTTTTTTTTTTTTTTACTTTTCATTAAGTAAATGTGCTCATGGTTTGCATCTAACTGACTTGGAGCTGTTATTGGGTTTTAGTTCCCAATGAATGCATGATATCTGTTAAAACAATTTATGCACTAGCAAAGTAAAACCAAAATACGCTTTCAAACCATCCAGTTAAGGTTTTCAGTCTTAAATTATGGATTCTCCCAGCTTGGGCATGCTTTTCATATTGGGACTGTATTGTATTGGGAAAATTAGTAACTGTGTTAGGGTTGAGATCTAGAATGGTTATGATCATAACTTGCCTACTTGAACTTGCTTTTTATGCAAGACAAGACTGCTTTTCTTATGGTGCAGTGGTTTAACATACTGAGTATTCCAGGTGTGGAGAAAGGTTCTAAGAACCCCAAGCTAGAGAAGGTGGGAAAGGTTACCATTGAACAAGTACGTGCAATTGCTGCTGAAAAACTGCCAGATTTGAATTGTACGACAATTGAATCAGCAATAAAAGTCATAGCTGGGACAGCAGCTAATATGGGAATCGATATTGACCCTCCTGTTCTTGAACCAAAAGTGAAGAAACTTGTGTAGTACTTTCATCCCAATATGCCTGTAGCAATGTTTAGTATCGTCTGTTAAAATATTTTTATACCTCCATTTTTTTTTATCTCCTTCAGCCTGAGAGGTCATGTATATTTTATGATTAAATTGAGTATGTTTTCTGGGCTGTGGCTTGTCACCAAAACTGTCACTGTGATTAGAAAGTATTTGAACCTCTGTTATTCCTTGAAAACACTGATCTGGTTGCATAATTGACAAGTTGTATATACTGTCGCATCTTTAATAGATGAGTTCGAATCCTCCCTTTCCGATCTATATATAGAAAAAAGGGTTAACTCAAGGTTTTTCAATTACGGTTCTAGTGGATTCCCTCTCTGTTGTTGCTATCTCCTTTACGACAATTGGAACCCACCATTATTTCTTGTATCTTTAACTCTATTCGTTCCAACAAAATATCAGGAAAATGAGTACCAGAGTGAAAAATACTTTACATGGTCAGTGATCAGGTCCATTATTGTCTTTCCCCACCTGTAATTATCATGTGATTCCTGTAAAGTTACTTGACGGAGGTGTGGAGCTATTTTGTTGTTAGTAATAAAAAATGGAGATGAATGTCCCCCAGCAGGGCCAGTCCTGTGGTTTGCATTTTGCATTTCCTTCCCTCTAACAGATGACAATCCTGCCTGGATGGGACACGCACGAGATCTAAATCTAAATCAGAAGGATGCTGAACACAACCTGGCATAACATCTTATTAAGTTATGAAATAATTATTAGTAGCATCAAGTACAATATTTGATTAATTCTCGTTTATTTGTTTTTGATTATATACATGGGGAATAACTTGTTATGATTTTTATTTATCTCACTTGTATTTTAGAGGATTTGCAGGAGAGTTTTGTTCTCCATCTCTCCATTTTTGTGGATCAAGTTCCAATTCTTAAAGAGAGTTAGATATCATGATTCATGAATATATAATTGCTCGTGTCAATCGATCTTTGCAATTGCCAAAACTTCAAATGACCTACCCTTTTGCTAAATTGAATAGGGAAATTATAATTTTTTTGGCATAGAAGTATTATCAATCAGCTTATATGTATTAGATTAATTAGTCAAATTTCCCAATTTGATCAAAATAAAAGTTATGATGCAAACAGTAAATTGAAAATTAAAGTCATCTAAGGTGATTTGAATCTCACAACTTGTTTTCAGACAACAGAAAATTCTCAAAACCTATATTGACAACAACCCAGAAACATGACAAACCAGGCTTGACAAAAGATAGATCAATACCAGAAAACCACTTGATAAGTGAATGACACAGGTGGCATCCACCACTAACAACAGCTTTTTTTTTTTTTTTTTCTTTTAAATTGAGGGCATGTGATTTGGGTCATTTTATCAAATAAAAAGTGGCAGATTAGTCACACCATAATTGAGGAATTTATAAGGACTTGTATCTTTGTTGGTCCTTAAAAAAGATTAAACCCTAGTAATAAATAATATAAACAAGCCAGTCGCTGCTGGCTCTCTTTTTATTTTTTTATTTTTTATTTGTGGTTAGTGTTTCTTTAAATTAATTTTTATATATTGTAAAATTATTTTTTTTGAATAATTATAAAAATATACTTCTCACATTTTCTTGATATATTTAAAAAATATTAATTTTTTTAAATATGAACTATTTTCTTTTCTTGCATATCTCCGAATCCCCTCCTATTTATATGCGCCTTCTTAATAATCGAAAAGGAAAAATAAAGTGATATCCGAAAGGGGAAGAGGGAAACAATAACCTAAGTAATTTTTAAGGCTGCCAAAAAAATTGGAGATGGGAAGTCGACCCATTTAGTGCAATTTGATGAAGCCCAACTTCTTTAAGTTTTATGAAGCCTAAAAAATTGACACATTCGATATGTGTATGTATATACACATTGATGTTTGTATATATAATCAAAAGATACAAGCCATATCAATGATAATTGATAAAGCAATCTATTTCCTTCTTAATTGAACTACCTATACCCACATGTATTTTATTTTTTTTAACAAGTAGAATTAAAGAAATTAAAAATAAAAATAGTTAAGATTTAGATTTTCGACTTTTTAATATTATCATTTTTTAAAAAAAAATTATAATTATTAGGCCATAATAATAATTATTCTTTTGGCACAGCATCTAATTGGTTTGTGTATCTTGTTGAGCATCATTTATATGCTTGGTTGGCTCGGAAGAATATTCAAAGTATAAACTTTTGACCGTCGCGTAGGCAATTGGGCAGGGAAGAGTTTGGTAAAGAAGATAGGAATACAGAAAAGTCCCTATCAAGATAGAAAGGTACCCGTCGGCCGTCAGTAAAAAAACAATATTATGCTACCCAGTATTAATTATCTAAAAGACAGAGTAATTCATTTTTTTATGGGTTTTTTTTTTTAAACTTGTGTTTTAAGTGTATTTTAAGGGTATAAGTTAAAATTTTTTTTAAAATAAAAAATAATATTTAATTTATTAATTATTTAATTAAATTTATTCACGTAATATTGATTTAAAATTAATATTTATTTTTATATTTTTTATATAAATTTATTATAAAAATATATTTTTAACTTGCACTTTTAAGATATAAATTAAAAAAATTAAATGTTTATTTAGTACTCTAAAAACCACTGCTACCATTAATTCACCTAATATTCATTAGAATCCAAATATAATACGTATACCAAACTAGGAGTAGCGGTATACTCCCTACCGTTAATTCTTTTGGGCTTAATTTTTTATTTAATAAAATAAAACTATAATAATTAATTAATAAAATTTTATTTTATTTTAATTAATTATTATTTAAATAAATTTTTTATTTAATAATATATAAAATATGTTATAATTATAATTTAAAAATAAATATATTAAATAACATATTTTAAAAATTAAATTAAAATGGAAACCATTCGAGGCGGCCCAAACCGGGAGGGATGGAAAAGTAAAACCAGAGGAATAAGCCATTAATGACTAGCAAACAATCCAAGATTGTCATTCCATTCATAAATTTTTATTGAGTATCCTGCTGAACACAGATAAATATACAAAGGACACAGCATGACTACTGCAACTTTCTTCCCATAAATACTAATATATTCTAATCATCTATGATTGACTTTGAATGGTCCTCTACTTTTGTCGTAAAACCTACTCTTAAACCCTCAAACTTACTCTATCTTAATAAATGAGTCCCTAGACAAAAAATTGGAGCAGACAAACCCTTAAAATCACGGGATTGCAGCGAATTAGCCCTTTTTTAATGGGCATTGTTGGTTGGTTCGTGTTATTTTCAAACGTTTCGATAATGTCTCTTGTGTGATGGCTAGTAGAAGAAAACAACCAATTGTAGTTTAATTCCTAAATTAGTCAATTTGAAATAAAATTATATATCCTTTAAAAATCCTAGCAATTCCCTTGACTTTTGCTGCACTACATCTTCAATATCCATCAAAGACAACTAGACAAGAAACATTGGAAACAAAGTATTACAGCTTTAGCTTTGAATTGAAGTCGAGTTTTTCTTGGAATTAAAACTTCTGTTTCTAATCTTTGATATCCTTATTTAGAGTAACATTTTTTCTACATATTTTAATATCAATTATTAAGATTTAATTTACCAACAAAAAATATTAATAAAGTGAAATGATATCTTTTAAAAGATGATACAGTAATTAAAAACTTAAATATTTTTATATTAAAAATTTTAAATTTGAATTTTAAAATGGGTAAGGAAGAGTTTAGGGAAGAAAATGATATTCTCTATTATATATTTTATCATCTGAAATATATATATATATATATATAAAAAGTGAAATAATAAGAAGAAAAACACTACTCAATAATTTAACATGAAAAACTCTTAAGAAAAACTATATAATAAAATAAGTGATTCATTAATCAAAATAAGAGTTATAATATTATAAACTCAATTTCTAAACTTTTAATCTGTTTAAGTACTCCCTTAACATTTTCTATCTCTCTATCTTTATCTCATCACTCATGGCTCAAAAACCATTTATCACCCCCATTAGGGGTGGGTTATACTTTAAGGTCACTAATATCATACCAGTATGCATACTGATTTTGCTAATAGAATAGTACATATCAAATATTATAATTTTTGTATATAGTTTCAAATTTACTATTATAAATATATATTTTCATATAAATTGAGTATATAACTTTAGAATTGTATTTAATGAACTTAAGAAATATTAATACCTTAAAAAAACAATTTTTTAGAAAGTAAAAATATATTTAAAATGAAGAAATTCATGAAATGTTCTTAGAATTCTATTTTTTAGACAATAAGGACAATATTAAAGGAAAATAATATATCAATATATTCTATATTTATTTATAAAGATTCATATATTTATCTGAGTCTATCCCAAATAGAAAAATTAAGCATTTATTTAGATTTAGGATATTTTTTCAAATCTAAACCCAATAAATAATTATTTGATTCATTCAATAAAAAAAGTAATAACTTGAAATCTAATTTTTAAGTTATATATATGTAAATTGAAAAATAGAGATATTTTGCTCACAAAATAAGTATATTAATAAATATGTTTTTCTAAGAGATAGATATGTTCCATAACATTATTTAATAAGTAGTACTTTTTTTTATTTTAAAAAAAATCAGGTAGAAAGGAGAAAAAAAATATTGGTAACATTTTAATATATAGATTTATAGATTGAAATACTAATTGATACCCAAAATTTGACTAATACACTCAAAATTTGACCAAAACAAGATTCAATCTTACTTTTGAACATTGAGAAATTGGAGGAATGGGAGAAATTTTCAAGTCCTTAGTGAAAGTAGAACTCCTAATCAATGAAACCCAAGCACTTAGACTTAGGATGAACCATTGGGTCCAATGGGTTGGTTCACAAAATTCAATCTTATATTATTTCGAATTAAGTATATATAAAATCAATACATACCGATCAATATTAAGGGGAATCAACAACCTTGCTATAAAATCACATACCACTAAATATTTTAGTTTGCTTATATTTGTATTAGACCTAACTATCCAAGTAGGCTGTTGGATTTTTAGTACAAAGTCAAGTCCCAATAGACTTACCATATATTCACATATGTGGGTACTAAGTTCGTTTGCAAATTAAGTTAGAATCAAATTAGGACAAAAACAGACTATTAGTCCAAATCTAAACTTTATTATGATTTGGTAGAAGGTGCAAATTACCCACACAATATTTTTGAATTGAAGCAAATAAAAAAAAATGAAAAAAAAAAGAGGATTGAAGCAAAGCACCACTCAAGTAAGTTGTTGGATTCCTGGTGCAAAGTCAAGTCCTAATAAACTTCTCATATATTCTCATGTGATTACCAAAGTTCATTGCAAGCCAAGTTGGAATCAAATTAAGAGACTAAAACATAATTATGACTCCAAATCTAAATCCCATTATGATTTGGTAGAAGGTACAAATTAACTCCTAATATTTTTTAGTAGAGATAAATTAGTAAAAAAAAAATTAAAACAAGTCACCATTGGAAATTTGATTTTTAAAAAATCGACTCATACCTAACACTTGACATCGACATAATTATTATTGAATGTTTAAAGAGTTATTAAAGTAAGTCAACTTAACTCATTAAAAAAAAGTAAACTTAAGAGATAAATTTAATTTCAAATTTGATTAATTTATAGATTAAGTTGCAATTTTTCATTTTTTATTACCCGAAGTGTCAGGTACATTAACGGTAACTGTTTGTTTGAACAGCAACATCAGCCAAAAATACCGGAAATCAACAATGGCCGTTAACTTAGCTAATTTGCTACAATCGGGCGAGTTTCTGGGCTAATCTCACACAATGGGTAAGTTTGAGGGCCTAAGAATAAGTTTTGCCTCCATATAAAGTCGGAATAAGGGTGGAGCGGTTTCTACTTGGAAACCAAGAAGAAGAGCAAGTAAGCATTCATCCCAATCCAGAGGTATTTTCTCACGATGTTTTCAATTGATTTTCTTTCATTGTGTGTTTTTGGATTCTGTGTGCTTTGGATATTAATAGTGAAAGAACAGTATATTCAATCTACCCTTTTTGTATTTTCAAGTTTTGTTTTTTTTTTTTTTTGCTTTGCAAATTCTGAGTATTGGGTGTGCGGTGCTGGTCACCTTTAGGCTTTACCTGTGTTGTTCAGAACCTTTTGACGTGATATGGCATCATGGGTCTCGTGATTCTGTTTTGCCTTTACAATTTTTATGTGTCTTTTGCCCCTTTAATGGATTTCTGGGATTTTTGTTCCTGATATTCTGCGTTATAGATAATTGTTTGTTTTCCTTTGCGTGTGTCTGGTGTTTTAGGTGTATTGGAGTATTTGCATTCTATAATTTTTAAAAAAAAAAAAAATAAAATAAAACTTTTTTTGGGTTATGATTTCTGTTCTGCTTTTCTGAAAGAAAATTTAATTTCCTTTGAAGCTTGAAATTAGTGTGCAAAATATCAATCAGAAGGCCTAATCTAATAGTTCTGGTTGAAGACTTGAATTTTGATTGGTGTCCCATATTTGTTGTATTCATTACAATCTTATTCTCAGTGTCCTTTTTTTGAATGAGTATGTTTATGTAATAGCTTTTAAGGATTGCTATTGCTAGTGATAGAATCAAGAAAACATCTTTAAATTATGAGATGAGAAGAGTTGGCACCTTGTTTCTGAAGTATATTGAGGAAAGTTTTTGCTGCCACCTCATACCTCTTTTCAAATAAGAATTGCAATTTGTTTAGGGAGAAAGAAAAAAATAAAAGATCTTTTTCCAAAAAAGAATTGCAAGTTATTTTTAAAGAGGGTCAGTTGCTTGCTCCTTGTTTAACAAGTGATCCTTGTTTAAAATCCGCATAAAGAATAGGTTATTCTAATTTTGCTCTTCGTTTTTTTGAAACTGAAATGCTGGCAAATGGGTTTTTTAATAAGCAAAAAGAGTAATGTCCTATTAGCTGATAGATTTTAGCATAATTACAATATGTACAGAGCATGAACCTATTATAATGGGTTCAGATGTCTCAAAGTTCTTGATTTTCCACTTATAGTTCCTTTATTTCACATTGTGATACCTGTGGAAAGTTCATATTGACAATTATAGATCTTTTAGTCGCACACCTTGTGTTAGAACCTGGCAATTGTGAAATTCTCTTGAAAGAAGGACTCGAATTTGACAAAGTCAAATTTGTTGTTCGAATGCTTGTTTTATTTCATTTGTTCTTTTCCGTGGGTTTTTATAATGATTGTTGGTTTAAATTCAGTTAGCTCCTAAAGTTAACAGCTGGTAGTGTAGCCAACTAGCCATGCCTTGCACTACCTATTATAATTGTAAATGATAAGAATGCTCTTTTGTCCTCCCTGTTTACCTGTTTATTTTGGGTCTGTGTGATCCTTTTTGAAATAACTTGCTGCCAATGTTAGGGCCAATGTTCTTTGTTCTCCAAGAGGTGTCCTTTTTATCTTCGTATTTTTCATGTTGTTCATTGTTTTGAAACTCTTCTACAGCTTTACCTTGACACTCAGAGAGAAAAATGTGTGATGTGAGATATGACAAGACCATATTAAAGTGAATAGTGCTGCATTCTTGATGCAAGATGTTTTTAAATATGTTTGAATAGGATATTTCTTGATTTACCAATGTCTTCTCCATGTGTAGTTTCTGTTTGAAGATTTGTTGAATCATTGTATTATTTATGTTCCTTCATATTTTTTCTTCAGATGGATGTGCAAAGTTCTGAACAAGCGCATATTATTGAAATACATGGAGAGGTGCCAGCTGCAGATACAAGCCTGGGTGGGAGTATGGTTTGTGCAGGAGCACCATGTGGCTTTTCAGATGCTAAAGCAAGCTCTAGTGATGCAAAGGAACGCTCAGCATCAATCCGGAAACTTTTAATTGCAGTTGCTCTCTGCGTTATCTTTATGAGTGTGGAAGTTGCTGGAGGCATTAAAGCCAACAGTCTAGCAATTTTAACTGATGCAGCTCACCTATTATCAGATGTTGCAGCATTTGCGATTTCCTTATTCTCACTCTGGGCATCAGGATGGGAGGCAAACCCACGTCAGTCATATGGTTTCTTCAGGATTGAGATTCTTGGTGCTCTTGTTTCTATTCAGTTGATTTGGCTTCTTGCTGGGATCCTTGTTTATGAAGCCATTGCAAGGCTTATCCACAATACAGGTGAAGTTCAAGGCTTTCTTATGTTTGTTGTTTCTGCTTTTGGTTTAGTAGTCAATATTGCCATGGCTCTCTTGCTGGGCCATGATCATGGTCATGGGCATGGGCATGGGCATGACCATGGCCACGGACATAGTGGAAATGGCCATGACCACCATGATCATGGTCATAGCCATGACAATGAAACACATATTCATGGATTAACTATAACTGAGCATCATCGCCACCACCATCATGACGGGGAGAAGCATGATCATAGTCATGAAGCAGACCCTACTCAGCCTCTGCTTAGAACATGCTCTGAGAGTGAAAATAAATCAAAAGGTGGAGGGAATCAGAAGAAACAGCGGAACATCAATGTACAAGGAGCATATCTTCATGTTCTTGGGGATTCCATTCAGAGTATTGGAGTGATGATTGGTGGGGCAATTATCTGGTATAAGCCTGAGTGGAAAATTGTGGATCTAATATGTACCCTCCTTTTCTCTGTGATTGTGCTGGGAACAACAATCAGGATGCTGCGGAACATTTTGGAGGTTCTAATGGAGAGCACACCTCGAGAGATTGATGCTACAAGGCTCGAGAAGGGTCTCTGTGAGATGGATGAGGTTGTTGCTGTTCATGAACTGCACATTTGGGCTATAACTGTTGGTAAGGTTCTATTAGCATGTCATGTGCTGATTAAGCGTGATGCTGACGCTGATATGGTACTGAACAAGGTTGTAGAGTATATCAGGCGAGAATACAACATCAGTCATGTCACTATTCAGATAGAGCGCCAATAGATCCAGAGATAAACTAGGCTCCATAATTTTTCTGTTGATTTTGCTTAGGATGTGACAGTTTATGCCTTTTCATTTTTTAGCAGTGACGAACTAGATTATTACTGAGCATGTAGTTGGGTTTATATAAATCTTATTAGTTTCTCAATCCCATTCAACCTTTTCTGCTTGTTTCTTTTAATCTGCAATTTGAAAACTCTCTACTATTCTGCACACTTGACACTTCACCAGCTTGAAGGTTTGAATTTGAGTTAACCATAATAGCTTGTCTAGTTTAACGGGAGGAGAGGAGAGGAGGAGAACTTATCGTATTTGGGTAAAAAATTGGAGGGGAAGGGCTTTTTCTTATTTTGCTTTAATTTCCTTTGCATTTTAGTCTAACCAAATGGAGAGGAGGGAAATGGAAGTTTCCCTCCAACCAAACAGGCTGTTAGGGAATAGAATAGAGTCTGTCCTTGTATACTTCCAAAGATTTTGTAGTTTTCTGGCCATATACGATGCTCTCACTGTAATAAACAAACAAGATCATTTTTAGTCCAAACATCATTGATTTCTTACAACTTATATCATGAAACGACGTCCATTTAGCTCGGAAATTGCATCATCATGAGTAAAAACAATCAGATTTTAGAGAGATAAGAAGGCAAAAGTTCCTACAGCTGAGCATAATTAAGGCCAATATACTAACTCTCAGGCGTTCTTGTAGGACTCTACAACAGAGAAGTTATTAGCGCAAAAAGGCACTCGAACATGAGAAAATCCTGCTGCTTTTGCCAGACTTTGAAATTCTTTGTCTGTTCTCTCCTTGCCATTTGCATTCATGTTCATCATAAACAAATCCATCTGAAACAGGCTCTTAGCGGCAACACCAGTTTCAGTTTCAGGATCCTCTGGAATGACCAAATCTACAACCATCACCTTTCCATTCACCGGTAATGCTTCGAAGCAATTCTCGAGTATCTTCAACCAGTGATCATCGTCCCAACTGTGAAGCATCCACTGTTTTGTTTAAAATAAATCACATATTAGTGAAATTACAACTTAATCTTGCAAAAAAAGAAAAAAAAAAGAAAAAAAAAGGGCATTTACTTTTAACATTGAGGAATCTTTAATTGTACAAATCTATTTTGATTTTTCTTTTTCAGTCATATGGAGTCTAACCTTCATGAAAATGGCATCTGCTTTTGGAATGCTCACGAACATATCTCCTGCGACATGGTCAATACCTGCAGTATCATTATGATCCAGAAAAGCGTTTAGTAAAAGAGAAAGCTATTTCAAATTGTATAATCCAAAATCATGCTTCCAAAAAAGAAGCACACCAAGATTTGGAGATGCCTTCTCAATAATATGAGGTAAATCAAAGTTGATGCCCTTGATTGTAGGATATTTGGAAACAATCATGTGAAGGATAGAGCCATTGCCCCCACCAACATCCACCAGGCTCGTTAAACCCTCAAAACCCTTGTACGTTTTCAGCAGTTCTTCCACGAACAAGCTGTTGTAGTCTGCCATAGAGGCCTTAAATATTTCACAGAACCTAGCATCTCTCCCCACATACTTAATTGCTCCCATCCCATGTGCAAGATTAAATGGAAGTCCCCACTCAAGAACTGCATCTTTCAAGTTGTACCTGTTGCAATTCCACCATAAAAAAACTAGGGGAAAAAAAAATGAAGCTTAAAATGGAATCTGTAATTTGTAATGTGATTTTTACCACATATCTAGGATGACTTTGTCCTGAATCAGGTCAAACAAGGGATGCAGAGAGCCTCTGTCTTTGTTCCTAAGGAAGTATTTAGCTACAGGTGCCAAACCATAGAGCCTGAGAACCTGGCCATCCTGGTTGGCTTGAGAGCAAGTGAGGATGGAGTGGCTGGCGAGAAGCCTGAGGATACGATCAAGGATCAAAGGGGCATCTGGGTTGTTTTGTGTTGGAAGTTTGGATGCAATCTGTGGAGAGAGTTTGGCTTCAGATTCAGCCTCAGATATACTCTCGAGCACTCCGAGTTCAATGGCTGCTTTCAACGCCATGGGCAGCACTGATGCGCTTGCCAATTGCATAGCATACTGGGCATGATGGTCCTCTTCATTGCTACAAATCCTCGGTTCCATTGTTGAAAGGAGAAAATTGTGCGTTGTTGTTGAATATCTTGGCGTATAATTTTCTACATTTGCTCTATCTACATAACTGAGAATTCAGATTTTGGGTTATTTTAATCAACACGGTTTTTCAACCTACTTTTAATGATTCATTTCTAAACTTTAATACCTAAGATTCAGTTAACTAGAAGTTTAACTCTCACTCATTGTTTAAAAAATATTGCCCTTCTCTAATAATCCTCCATCAGAAAAAAAAAAAAAAAAAAAAAAATTCAACACGGCTTTTACTTGGTCCACAATATCAGGCGAATGTCTATATATATATATATAAGGTGTTTATCAACGTCGAATTTTTTATTGTTCAAGTTTAATGGTTTCGTTCTCAAATCTTAAACATTTGAATTTAGGTAATTAGAGGTTTAACTCTCACAAATGTTTTGAAAAATTATTCCATCCCTCCAAATTCCCAATGCTCAAAAAAAAAAAAAAATTTGTGGATTGGGGCAATTTATTTTCAAAGCTGATCTATGATGAATCTTTATTATTGTTTTTTATTTTTAAAATTTAAGGATAATTTTTAATATAATTTTATGTGTAAATTAAATAATAATTTTTTTTTATTAATTTAAAACTCATAATATTAAGTATATTTATATATTAAAAAATTATATAAAAAATTATCTGTATACCATTGTTTTTTTTTTTTAACATAAAAAAATAGATTATAGTCCTCTTTATTTATTTTAAAATTTAAGTTTGAGATCTGTAGTGCAAAAGTTGAAGCTTTTAACTTGTAAGTTTTTGTAGTTAACTAAAGAACACTCCAATATGAATATGTTAGCTTCTAGGGTGTGGAGCTCTGTTTCAATTCAAATAGATTGACTAACGAGCATGCAAAGGAGTTACTAAGTTTATGCAAGTTACACATTACAGTTTTTGCATAAAAGAAATAACTACTCCTAACACTATTAACTTGCCAGAACTAATTGTAGAGAACTAGAAAGAATAGTTACAAATTAAAAAGCATAACTGTAAATTGCTATGTTCAACACTCCTTGCATTTAATATTTGTAGGTCCAAGCATATCTCTAAACTCTACAAATTTTTGCCTTGGAAGAGCTTTAGCCAAGATATCTACAACTTGAACTTTAGAATCACAATGCTGCAAAACAATCTCTTTGCCCTGAATATAATTTCTAATAACATGGTATTTAATCTTGATGTGTTTGGTCCTACAATGTTGCATCAGATGTTGAGCAATAGGAATTGTTGACATGTTATCTACCTTGAGTATGCAAGGCTCAATTTGATCAAACTAAGTTCTCCAAGCACCATTCTAAGCCAAATAGCATGATTTGCTGTTGCTCCAACTATTAAATACTTAGCCTCAACTATGTATTGAGCTATAACATCTTGCTTCTTTGAATTCTAAGAGAAACTCTTAGAACCAAAGGACAATAGATAACTTGTTGTGTTTACCATATCCTCCATAGAACTTACCTAATCACTGTCAGCATACCCCTATACCCTTCCTTGTTGATTATTGTTAAACTACAAGCCAAGTTCATAAGTTCCTTTGATGTACCTAAGAACTTTCTTAGTTGCAACTAAATAAAGTTTACTAGGAGTAGAATTAAACCTTAACAAATAGCTTGCTACAAACATCAAGCTAGGTCTTGTTATAGTTAAATAAAGTAGGTTGCTAATTAAACTTCGATAGTAAGAGGAATCAACCTTGGTTTCTCAATCATCCTCAGAAAGCTTTTCATTTTGAACTAGTTGAGTGGCAATTGGTTTACAATTCTCCATTTCAAACATTAAGATATTCAATACATACTTTCTTTGGTAAATGAAAATTCCCTTGCTTAATTACTAAACTTCATGCTCCAATAAATACTTTGCCTCTCCCAAATCTATCATTGCAAAGTCCTACATCATAACCTTCTTGAATTGTTTGAACAACTTCAAATCATTTTCGATTAACAATAAATCATCCACATAAAGTAACAAAATAAGCTAAGATTCACTATTCCTACCTTTCACATACAAAGTTGCTTTTTCTGTGCTATTTTTGAAGCCTTGACTGATCAAGTAGTCATCAAGTGTGCAATAGTAGGCCTTTGGCGCCTGCTTTAGACCTTACAAAACTTGGTCAAGCTTATAAATAGTCTTCCTTTCCTGTAGGGGTGGTAAAAAGCACCTAACCTGTTTACCCAATCCTAACTCAACTTGTGAAAATGGGTTAGGGTTTATTTATCTCAACCCGCAACTTGTAAATAACTTGTACTATCAACCTACATGGGTCACAAGTTAGGTTTAGGTCAACCTGTGAGTTGATAAGTCAACCCATTTGCTTTATTTTATTATTATTATTTTTAAAAACGTTGTACTTATTATTTTTCATTAATTTTCTATTAGTAACTCTCTCCATTGATTCATACTCTTCAACTTCCTTTCCATTACTCACATGGTTTTAAACTTATTTTGACTATTTACTCATCATTATTTCTCCTTTTTTCTCTAAAAATTATATGGGTTTGATCTAATTGTCAATTATTATGAATTAAATGATATGCAACTAAAAGTATTGAAAATGTAATGCTAGGAAATTGACATAATGATTTAGTGAAAAATGTTCTTGAAAGAGTAATTTCATCTTGAGGAGAAGCTTAAACTCTTTGATAAGTTATATTTCAAGATGATGATTGCAAAATTCAAACTTTTTTTTCCAAGAAATTTTAGTATTTTAAGTTTAATATTGTTAATCAAATTATTGTTATATATGACTTTATGATTTTTTTTTAATTTAAATATTTGTGGTAAAGACTATAAAGTGCTTAGTATTAATGAGTTACAATACTTTAGAATTTTAAGTTTTAATTAGATTTAGATACCTATGATTTTATTGATATATAATAAAATTAAAAAAAAAATAATTGTAAAGAAAAAAAATAAGGTAAACCCAAGGATTGACCTATAGCCTGTTAGGGTCGAGTTGGGGTTAGCCTTTGCTAACTTGCAATCCGTTTATGACCCAACCTATATAACCCATCACACAAGTTGACCTAACTTGAATCTGACCCAACTCACTCGTTTGCCAAGCCTACTTTCTTGCAATCTTGAACCTAGGTAGTTGTTTGACATAAATTTCCTCTTGTAGAACACCATTTAGGAAAACTGATTTTACATTTGTATGAAACAACTTCCAACCCAAATTAGTAGCTAATGCAATTAGAAGCCTAACTATGTTATGTTTGCCCACCAGTGCATAAATCTCTCCATAATCAACTCCCGGCTTTTGAGCATACCTTTTCACTACAAGTTTGGCCTTATGTTTATGTACAGAACCATCTAGATTTAGCTTAGTTTAAAACACCCACTTCACCCTAATAGGCTTGTTAGCATTTGGTTTTGGAACAAGACACCAAGTTCGATTTTTTTTCAATCATAGATAGCTCCTCCTTCATGGCATCAATCCAAACCTATTGTTTAGTTGCTTGTTCAAAATAGTTAGGTTCTACAATAGCCAAATTACATCTTGCATAAATCTCAACTGGTGACATGGTTTTCAAAATTGGTGAATTATCATTAACTTCTACAATTTTAGAACTAGAAGTTACATCAGTAGATTTCAACTCTAAACCAACTTCACACTGCTTATCTAAACTTTTTTCTATCTTCCTTACATCCTAATTCTAGTGTGTGCTCTCATCAAAAAAGAAAAAATCATCTTTATGCACATTTACCTTCTTGGATTGAGGATCATACACCCTATAACCTTTTGCTTGTGTTGCATAGCCCAAAAAGATCCCAATTTCTGCCTTCTCACCTAATTTTCCTTTTTTAGCTATTGGAACATGATTATAAAAAATTGAGCCAAAAACCATTAAGTGATAAGCTATTGGTTTTTTGCCATACCAAGCCTTAATAAGTGTCATGCTTTTTACCTACATTTGTTGGTAAACCATTTAAGAGATAGACTACTATATAAACTGCTTTAACCCAAAAAGATTTAGCCAATTTCTTCTTTGCTAACATGCACATTTCCATCTCCATAACAGTTTATTTTTCTTCTATGCAATGCTATTTTGCTGTGGTGTATAAGATACTATTAATTGATTATCAACACCAGCTTCTTTACAAAACAAGTTGAAATCATTGGAGGTATATTCCTTGCCATTATTTGATCTGAGTTTTTTAATTCTACATCTACTTTGGTTTTCAACCAAAGCCTTGAATTTTTTGAACACAAGTAAGGCTTGACCTTTGCTACCACGAAAGTATACCCATATCATTCTTGTAAAGTCATTTATAAAGAAAATGAAATATATGTTTTGGCTAAGAGATGGCATTCTCATAGGGCCATAAATATCTGTATGCACCAGTTCAAGCTTCTGAGTTGTTCTCAAAGATTTATTCATAGGAAAAGGTAATTTATGTATCTTGCCTAATTGACAACTTTCACAAACATTGTCAATTAAATGCAATTCTGGCAAATCTCGAACTAACTCAGGTGTTTGCATATATTTGAGGCCTTTGACATTGAAATGACAATATCTTTTATGCCACAAATCTACATCTGTGATTCTAGAAGCAAAAAAGCAATGCTGCACCATTTTCAAATCTAAAGGAAAGTTGTTCTCTACCATTTTTACCCTAACTATCTCATTACTAGTAAAGTCATAAATAAAACATGAATCATGCTTAAAAGATAGAGTGTATCCCTTTTTCATCATTTGTGCAACCAGAAGTAAAATTTGACTTAAACTAGGAATAAACAGGACATCAATAATTTGTTTTATACATGTTTCAGTTTAAATGACTGTAGTACCTTTCCCTTGTGATCTCACTAGAGTACCATTTCCTAACTTGACATTTATAATAATTGATTTGGCTATTTCAATGAAGAGATTTTCATCTAGTTCCATATGAGTAGTACATCCACTATTAACAAACCAAGTACTAGATGGCAATGAAGAACCTTGTGACACCATGAACAAGTAATTCTCCTTGCACTGATCTTTAACACAATTAACTTGCTATTGTTCCTTTGGTCTGTACTAAGTTTG